CCTGCCAGTAATGAGCTGGTTGTTTAAAGGCCATAAATCGCATTATTATTATTAGTTTAATCTCATTCAGATACTTCAACTTTGTCTCCAGCCCTAATTCAGTCACTAAATGTCATACTTTGTATACAAAAAGAGTCATGTCTGTCTGGTGTATTGTTATCAGTCACTAACAATTTAAATGTGGAATTCAGTGACCAAAAGGGAAAAGTATCAACATCGGTAAGATGAAACAGAGATGTCTGAATTTTTTAGAATATTGTACCTAGAATTTTAAAGTAAATAACATGATAGAAGCTGTGAAATTTGTTGAACATTGATTTTTTTTTGTATTTTTATTGTAAATGATTACTAGCTTTATTGACAGATAGTAATTAAAGAAAATGTCAACAATGGCAGCAAAGCAGATATATTTTATTTAGGTACTGTTGGTTCTCGTATCATCGTGAGCATGTAAATAATTGGTGATTTCTGGTTGAAATACTGAAGTTTATGTAATGATTACGTACAGATTTAAAAGCAGGCTATTGTTACCTTTGATCTCCTAAAGGTACACACGCATTTGTGTTTTTCGTTGTTCCAGAATGTTACATACTGATTTCAGAAACGTCTGGATTTTATGAGTAATCAACAAAATAATGCCACCAGTAATAACGCGGTATCATTTTATGAGGCAAATTGAACAATGCTTATTTCTTTCTCCGTAAGCCTTCTTGTAATTTGATTGTAAAAACCTTATGGATTATTGCGATAAACAATAACGTTAATAAAATTTGATTGTAAAAACCTTATGGATTATTGCGATAAACAATAACGTTAATAAAATTTGATTGTAAAAACCTTATGGATTATTGCGATAAACAATAATGTTAATAAAATTTGATTGTAAAAACCTTATGGATTATTGCGATAAACAATAACGTTAATAAAATTTGATTGTAAAAACCTTATGGATTATTGCGATAAACAATAACGTTAATAAAATTTGATTGTAAAAATCTTATGGATTATTGCGATAAACAATAACGTTAATAAAATTTGATTGTAAAAACCTTATGGATTATTGCGATAAACAATAACGTTAATAAAATTTGATTGTAAAAACCTTATGTATTATTGCGATAAACAATAATGTAATTTCAATAATGATTTTAATTTCTTTTCTTGTTAGTTTTATTTGATCTGGCCAACTTGTAATTAGCAGTTGCATTAATTAATACATATTTTAAAATTTGCTTAATTAGCACAGCGTAATTTGTATCATTGGTGTAAATTGATGACGCAAGATCTTCTATAAATGACTGATAGATGGTGCTGGTGGGGTAAAGGTAGAGATCATAACAATAACTTGTTTTTACAAACAATCATTCTGATGTCCATGAATCACATGATACTTCTGTGTAACAATAAAAAGGAAATAAAACCTTTTTATAAACTTGAACTTGGTGTTTCTGTGATTATTTATCACAAAATAACGCATACTTTTATATTGTCTATAATTTCTCACACCAATAGGCAAATATTTGAAGATTCATCTAGTCGTGGAAAGTTAAGAATGGTGTGAAAATTATCAGAAAATGCACTTAATTTCTCATACAACATGAAATGTGCAAAATCACAAATTTTAGAAAAATCATATCCTCCTGCTCAGTTTATACCAGTAAGTTAGGGAATGATTTTATACTTGTAATCAGTTGAACATTAGCGTGTAAATATGTAAGCGGAATTGTTGTGGAGTGTTATTCCATGGATAGCACTACTACAAACCTCACTTGAGTGCAATAATTCATGATAACTTACAAACAGTGGAACACAATGCACTTGCTGAACACGCGCAACTACAACTAAGGGGATTAACTCATCAGTAGGAGTTGCAATCTTTGGAACCCATATGCTAATGAGGCGCTTCAATCACACGGATTTATAGGAGAGAGAATCCCTGGATTTAGAAAAAGCTTCAGGATTGCAACCCCTATTCAACAGTCACGAGAAAGCGTAAAATAACATCAGCCTTTTCTGTCATTTGCATTGCCTTAAAAGATATCCTGCTATGGCATGTGTGGGTACCCTTATAACTAATTTCAAGGAAGGAATACTAAACAATGCAACATCACCTGTGTGTTGGAGACATCTACTTTAACTGTAGGGTGGTGGGACAATATCGAGTGAACTGCCCATGTCTTGTTCTACAAGATAAGCAAAACTTTCAGTTCTACACAACTGCTCAGCAGATGAAGGAAGGCTGCAGTCAATCTATAGCAGTTACTGTTCCAGTTCTGTAAAACTAACAATATACAGGTTGTGTTTGGCCATTGGTCTGGAAGGTGCAGTAGTCAACTTGTGACAAAAGGTTTGGTGGTCTGTACAGTTGAGGTGTGTGGTGCTTGGTATGTGCTGATAAAAATATACGTCAGATCAGGTCCATTTATAGCGTATTACACAAGTGTATGTTGAGGAGAGTCACAGTACCCTCAAATACACAAGTGGTGTACCATGATTTATTGCAGATGAAGATATATATAAATAATATGCTTGTGTTTGTCTATCCCGAGCTTTTCTCACAAATTTTTCAATCAAACTCTACAAATATCATATCAATAGAAAGGCCTTTTTCCAGAGTCTGGATTGCAAATAATGGCTTTTCCTTTTATAACCACTTTACCTGTTTTTTACTTAATCAAACTTTTTAATGCAACGAGTATGCTACACGATGGCAAAATGTCGTTGTTATCACATGACGACTGGCTTCGATTTAAACTTTGGTTTTTATTTGCCAAGTACTTCACACAAAGAACACTTAACCTGTGTGTAATTTCCTAAAAATGAACATCACCCTAAATACAATTTCTATGAGCTTTCTCGACTTATTTAGATCTAAAATACGCATGCGCAGTTCGTTCAAAATCATATACATATTACTTTGCGACCACACATTTAGACGTTTCTGCATAATCAGCTAAGTTTGCTTCATTATAACTTTACAATTACTTTACTTTGCAATAATATAGCTTTCGTTCGTTTCATAGACTGCTATAAATACCTTTTAACTACTTTTGATTTAGTACGGGTTTTGTTTTTGTGAGTTTTTTTTTCAACTCTTTAAAACTGTGTCATACACTGAATGCTCATACTTGTTTTATACTCTTTATTCTGTTATAAATACCATTACTTTATTGTTTACTTTGTGTGTAGTTTTATTAAATAAAGCTAAGTTTGCGGGAGTTTGTTTGTCTGGCTGCGTAAATTTTTTTGAAATAGACCAGGAATTATCGATCTAACACACAATGCCTGCAAGAAAGCATAGCTTGAATGGCGTGCATGAAAATGATAAAATATGGAACATTCAAGCGAAGGGCATTAAAACTACCTCAAATGTCGCGGCTAGTTAAAAATAATATTATGTTTCTTATCTACAAAGTAGGCTGCACTTGTTGGAAAAACTGTCCATGTAATGGTACCTCACTAGTGTTGCTCCACAATTAGAATTTAAAGTAAAGTGGAAGTAGATGGAGCTAGCGGTACAGTTAGGGTTGCTGCTATCATACCATGTCAAAAAACGAATGCACAGCTGTCAGAACATCTAAAATCATTAAACAACAATTGTCCAAACAAGCTGGATTCATCATAGTGACAGAAAATCACGAATTAATTTGGATTGAAGAAACTGGTAATGGTTGATGAAAATACAAATATGAGTATTTTTTGGTCACCTAATAGGTTGCGTACATTATATTAAAACGACTTTGAAGACGCCCCCCACCCTGTCGTTACAGTCTATGTTTCCTCGCCATAAGGCTGTCATGTCCAGAGTACATCACTCTTCCTTGCAGGCTTTCCATAATCCGTCTAGTGTACGAGTTCGATGGATTCCCAGCACACCTTTCAGCAGTCTAATCACACAAAAATACATAAGTAATCCGGCAACTTGTATATATTTGGAATATCGTGAAAACACCTGTTTCATTTTAGAGCTTCTTGAGGAATGCGACCATTGAACGAGGGTATGACAAGTAGCTTTGTTTTTGTGAACTCATATCCTGTTGGCCTCGTTTCCAGACAGAGATCCCGCTTCATTACATTGTTTACTGGAACACATGGACAGCTTTTACCACTAACCTTCGTGTTCGTGGGTTTTCACCTGTTACAATACACCACACTTTGCTTACCATAGCTAGGACACTTGTTGCAGGTCTCTTTCTAAATGGTTCTGGTGCCCCAAGTTAATCCATATTCTTTTGTTTTCCAACTTCATTATGTACAAGTGATATTTTCATCACGAAAATTCTAAATCCCCCATCTGAACACATCTTTACAATCAGTGTATAAATACTTTTTATCGAAAGAAGCTGTTAAGTACCCTTTCCAAAAGTTACTAATTTTCGGTGACATCACATTACCTACGAACTTTATATTGGCTGTGGTTGTCATGCGACTTACATATTTAAAATAATTTTTGACATTATATACTTAAACCGTGCAAAACACAAATAATCTAAGCATTAAGATAACTTATTCTCATCAAAGGAAAATCATTTTTGAAAAGTCGAAATTAATTGTTGATTGATTGCATCACCATCACATCGACTTAAGAAATGCATAAATACAATCTCTTGGAAGCATCAGAGTAAAGCTAATGATTATTTTGAACAATTATATTCAATATCAACTTAGAATTAGTAATCTGTGTGAATCATATGTATTTAGCATCATTGGTTACCTTCACAAACCTTGCTGCATTTTAACCTCGAAGGTTCCTTCACGCAAGTGGCTAATACAGTCAAGCAAGAATAACCACTTGCTGAAGAACATATCATTCAGAAAAAAAATAGGACTTTGATGAGTACATAAACACGCTCATCTCTGTATATAATAATGTTCAAAATTCTATCAAGAACCTTCGACTAAACAATGTTTTTATAAGCACATTGAACTGTAAGGTAGTTTATACACACACTTTGAATGGTAGTAATTTATAACATAACACGTTCCACATAAAAACACTGTTAAGGAAAATTATTTTATTTCACATCTGCAAGTTTCTCTGTTTCATGAAACAGTAATACATACACAAAAAGTTACAAAGTCAGTATTGTCAAGAAAATTACAATCACATTGAATATCTTGAAAAGAATAGTTTAGATGAGAAAATATTTTTTTTACATGCAAAGATAAAAGTACAAAGATCATATTAAAAACTAACAACACATACAAAAAGAAATTGTAAACTGATTTACCACTCACTAAAACCCCATAGGTGACAAGACAGCACACTTTGTGCAGGCAAAATGATGGGTTTATTTAGTAAGAACAGGAAAGCACCTCTATCTCAATGCGTGTACCCATACACACTTAATGAATAACATGGGTGTCAGTACGTACACCTGGATACATATGACAATTTCTTTAAATTGGTAGGAGCTAAAGATTAATTTTCACTAACACTGGAATAGAAATTGTTTGTACAAGATACATTCTATGTGGTTACACATTTTTGTCTATTCCTCCTGTACATCCCAAACAAACATGAATTATGCATACAAGAAAAAGGAATCTTTGTAACTATAACTTGTAATTTTATCCCCAGCTTTATAACCATACTCACTAAATACAGTTTCAAGTAATAGATTAACAATTCTTGTATCAAAATATGAACTTAAAAATGTATGTAACCAATACATTCAAAATACCTCCTCACATTAAAAATCATTTATTTTACACTCCTTAGGTTTTCATAAATATTAATCTAAGAGTTTAGAGAATTAGAAATTCTCACATTCAAAGTAGAAAAACCATGGTTACAAAGATGTTTATGAAATAAAAAAGATTATTAACCTTTGTAATTGTACCAGTCAACATGTACAAAAAATTAAACAATAGATTCTTCTGCTTAATGAAGACATTTACAAATACAGAGGGAGGATGACATCATGATATGAAGAATGTTTGTTCATTTATCCACAGGCATAGTTTAAAGCTTCTCTGGAATTTTTTCATAAAATGGTATTTATTCTTTCAACAATTAAATAATGTCTCTCTATAATAAAAAATGGAATAACTGTTTTAAGAAAACTTAAAATCTCATCAGAAATATTTAAGTTCTTACTGTGATGTCAACTCAACTATGAAGTGATGAAAACATCATTCACAATACCATAACAGTACAGGATTTGATAAGCAAGAGACCAAATGAACCAATGACAATTGTATAGCCCTACTAGAAAAATATTACCTGTTTTAAACTTAAACATACTAAATTTTCTTAGACATGTGCAAGAAAATCTTGGCTTAACAAGGATAAAACACTATGTTTTTTTAATAACATGCTTCAAGAGTTGTAATTCACGTAATATTACTAATTCATACAGTGTCCTTTTCAACAAATTATGAAGATTTTTAAAGATTATTACTAATAGTTATTACCTTGATTTGATATTGTAAGCTAAGGATCATTAGCTTTGTGTAATGTTATTGAAGAATAAGCTAAAGGAAATGAAGTCAAAATAATGTTGTTGTAGGAAAATATAAGGATTACTAGCTTGATTTAATATTACTGTAATACAAGTTAAGGTCACAAACCTCATCTAACATTATTGGAATAAAAGCTTAAATGATAACTAACTTGATCTAAGTTTACTGATGTATAAGCAATCTAATACTAACTTCATACAAAAATTAGGACTTATTCTTATGTAACAATACCAAGAACATCTAAATGTATAGTCCACTAGCTTTCCTTGATTCTTCCAAAACTAACCTGTATATTTCATGTCTTATGTTAGTAATATACTTAAATTAAACATATAACTCTCCCTTAATTCTAGAAAACTAACTTAGTTGTTTCATACTTATAAAAGTATACAAAACCCACTAGCTTTCTCTTGACCTTTACAAAACCTAGGTATTTTATTTTTTTATGTTAGTATATTTTGAAGTTTAAATGTACAACTCACCAGCTTTCCCTTTATTTTACAAAAATTAATCTACATAATTCAAGTAATTAGTGAACAATATAATCAGAGCAATCAAATAAATATGCAGCTTACTAGTTTCCCTAGATTCTTATGAAATGAACCAAAAAAAAGCCAGAAAAACTGTCATATGTTACTATACAATTCAAAGCAACAACCATATAAAGCAGTAGATATATCTCATCATAAGAAATCTAAATCCATACCCAACAGATTTTGTTTTCTATATGTTTACATTAATAACATATCCAGAGCATAACAACACTTATTTATATTCAATTAAATCTAATGATAGTTCATTTGAATCGGATCTATCAAATCTTTTGATCCTGTGTGCAACGAGATTTACCAAACTTTTGATTATTTATTTATTTATATATATATATAATTTTTTTTATTATCATGACCACTTATTACATCTCAGCCTAACAAAAAACTGAAATTTTACAACTCTTCAGCACTGCCTCAAAAACAAGTGTATTTAACAATATATATATATAACTTTATAATCAGCATATTATTTCAGCATAGCTTTTCGCATGGAATAGTGAAAAACTGATTCATTACAACAGAATACACAAATATATGTACTTGACAAGATATAAAGTGAAAACTATTAGCTACCAGTTAACATTCTCAACAGTATACATCATTATAGAATCACATGGAATTAACAAAGCTGTTATAATACATCATATTAAAAAACATTACTTAAATTCAATCCATTGTACTTTAACATGAGAGTTAAAAAGATGAAAACAACTGACATAAAAGGGCTTGATTTAATAAATATACTTATTTTACCTGTGCAACATGATAAACATTTATGTTCACACACGGTAGATATACATAATATTGTGATGTGCTCTTAATAACCAACAACCTCAAAGGCATTTCAATACATATCATATTGCTTTATCGTGCTTCATAGAAGTTCTATCACACAGTTGAAAAAAAAAGGTACGTGAAAACTAACAAGCAAATCTATGCAAATATTCTTAGATTATGAAAGTAAAATTCCTGATGTAGAATCGTAACTAATTTCTCTATGATATTCAAAAATGAAAGTAATTTAAAAACAAAACAAAAGATAGTAAGAAAGACAATTTTCAATAAATGAAGTCAACTCTTATTCACTAGTGCATTCATTTTGACTACTAAACAAGTTGTAAGTACTGGCTGAAAGACCAGTTATTTTCTAAAGTGTCTGGACTGCCATAAATAAAGAAACAAGGCTAAATAAAACAAGTTATCTTAAAGAAATGTTATGTTCTAGTTTTGTAGCATAAAAATATACAAATTTCAACAGCATTTCTAAGCATCTACATCCCTTTTATGATGCTATAAGATGTTTTTTGCTTTCTTATGCTTGAGCTTGTAAACCTAACAAACTTTTGATAACAACTTGCCACATAATGGGTTTTCAGGAATTGTTGTATGATTCTTGTTCAGAAACAAAGAAAACATTTCCCATGAAGTGCTGATTCTTTTGTTTTTAGGTGAATTAGTTAAAACATCTAGTACAACCAACAACAAAATTCACAGTTAAAAGATAAAACTTACAGAAGTAAAGAATATATTAATTAGAATAAATATTCATCCTTTAACAAAAATTTCAGTTATTAAATTTAAATCTCTCCTTAGTTGAGTTTATCCCATAATCTTTTCAAAATGATAGTCCTCAACTTTCTTTCTAAATGTGTATTATAAATGCTCCAAAGTATTCCTTCTCTAATGTAAGCAGATATAAATAACATTATAAACTTTATTGTAAATTTTTTATATTACTTTTGAATACTTCTATTCTATTATGGTATTATTAAAAAAAAAAAACTGAAGAAATTATTTTTACACATTTGACATGTTTTTAATTAATTTTGATTTATATTACTCTTATCTTTATAAGTTTATGATATCTATGGTATATTTTGTTCTTCTGAGATCTGGTTTTACTCAAAATGTCAAGCTTATTAGGGTTAATACTAATTTAGAATCAATTAAGTAAGCATAACCTGCTTTGCTGGAATACACAAATTCAGGTATCATTGGTTACATTTAAATGGATATGATCCAATTAAAATAGAATTATGAAAAGTGAAATCAAATTTCTGAAAATCTTGATATAAAAAGTTCTGCAGCTGCACAAATACTCAAGAAGGAAGAAATTAAACAATTTCATGACACAAAACAAACTAACTTTTGTTCCCTTATATAATGGCACATTCTACTCCTTTCTTCTTTGAAGGCAAAACAGCTCAATAAATCCTCAAGAATAGTAAAAAATTCATGGTACCTTACATATCAAACAGTACAGATTCAAGCAGCAAATCTTGTTAATGACAATACCAATATACAAGTTTCTGTATGGAAAAAACCCTTTACCTTGTTTGCTGCCATAACAAATCTATCTTACATATTTTTGAATCATTTAATTTTATATACATACATAGATCATTTGCTTTCAGTTATTTACATTAAATATCTGCTTTTGTGTAATGTACATCCAAAGCCTTGATTTGTGCACAATAATCATTGCATATTATGATGTTTCTTATCTTATTGTCAGCTTTCTGTGACTAGACTGACAAGCAATCATACAAAGCCAGCTTTGACAAAAGTCCAAGATTTTGATAATTTATTAGTTCTTTATATCAACAGATTATACAATGATCGTAAACAACTCATGTAATCAAAAGGTTATAACCACAGCATCCATTGCAAAAAATATTAGTCCTAGTAGATGATCACTGCAGCATTTAATGCAGAGAATATCTGCCTTTCCAGTGAATTACTAACCCAGCATCTAATGCACAAAAGATCACCATATCTAGATGATAATCATTTCAATTTTTAATGCAGAAATGACCCATTCTTTTAGTAGATGATCAGTGAAGATAGCCGATAAAACAAAATAGTTCTTGCAGTAGCTTCTTATCAGTGCATCAAATGAAAAAAAAAATCATTACTTTCAATTCAGTGTAGAATCATCACAAGCTCCGACACAAATTAATCTTCCAACAAGTGATCCTGTACCTTATGCACACAAAATGTGGTCTCATTGTAAGTAATCTTATAACACCCAAAGCAGAAAAAATCAGTATTTCTAATATATGATCACATAAACTAATGCAGGAGTAATTTAGTCTGTTAGTATTTTGCCATCACAATAACATCTAATTCTCACACTCAGTGTTACTAGGTGATGACTTTTACAGCATCCAAAGCAGAATATTAGTAGTGATACTACCCAGAACCCAATACAAAAAAAGGTTTTGGAAATTATAATCATATCACCTGATTGAAGACCGTTAACTTTTATTTCATAATCGTCACAGGGTATGATATGAAAAACAGCTACATATAATGCTACAATATCTTCCACTGCAATGCAAATTGTGCTTCTAGTAGGTGACTTTTACCACACAATGCTATCTATGCTCAATCACTACTTTCTCCAACGTCGTTTTGCTGGACTGAGACTTGCTGCTCTGGCTTCCTAAGGTAGTCTTTCCATCTTTGTCAATGAACAGTTGCAGTCCACGATCTATAAAAATCAAAAACCCAACATCAAATTAAAAATGCATTTCATTCTTTGCTTTTTTCAGAGCAATAATATTTTAAAATAAAAAACGAATGTTCTAGCAAATATCCCACTTACCTAGAGTACATGCAAGAACGTACATTTTGAATCCCAGACAGAAAATGTGAAAGTATGAGGATGAATCGACAGCTGAAAGCTCTTCTTAAAAGTACTGATATATGATAATGTGCAAGAACACGAGTTAATTGAAACAATTTTTCTATTCTCATGTGTATTATTTTTTATCTTGAACAAAAACAATAAATCAAATGGCTGTAACAGATAATAAAATTAGATGGAAGCTAACCCAATTGTAACAAACTTATGCAGAAGCTAGTAATATTCTTGAACACAATCTTAAAATTTAGGTTACATATTGGAGACATACATAGTGATAAAAACACAGTATTGTGTATGTTTTCAAACAAACATTATCCATGTGCAATTACAAGTGATGTCACCATCAGTGCACAGTTATTTGTGGAAAGTTGCTCACAGTATATGTTGCAAAATCTAGCAAGTGCAGTTTGGTGTTTTAAAAAACTCCAAACGGAACAACAGAAATATACTTCACAACTCTTAAATTTTCAGGGAAATAATCATGGATGCATACTAAAAAGCTCTACTCAAATGTGATGTATTACATCTTCAACAGTAATTTTACTTTTGCAACATTACTTCTCTTTCATATCTCTGAAATTTATTCACATCTACAGACTGACAGCTGAAAGGCAAGTAAAACCTAGTATTTGACATTCTGTGTGATAAATTTGTTTCCCCAATCAAAATGCATTAATATTATTCAAAAAACACTTTTTGATGAGAAGCATTTTAACTATTAATATATGACTGCTGTATATAAAACATGATTGTGCGACAAAGCATATTTCGTACGCTGAATGAGGGGTAAAGAACTGAAGACTAAACTACAAACACATACATTTGATTTTGTATTTATGAACAATCAGTTCTCTTTTTAATTTGATAAAAAAATGTATCAGAATATATAAAAAACAGTGATATTCACTTAACTATTACTTAATGATAGGAAAAATCCCATTCAAAATGAGAGGAACTACCCTGAAGCTATTATTTCTAAATCTTATCATATCAAAATGACAGGAACCACCATGAAGCTATTATTTCTAAATTTTATCATATCAAAATGATAGGAACCACCATGAAGCTATTATTTCTAAATCTTATCATATCAAAATGATAGGAACCACCATGAAGCTATTACTTCTAAATCTTATCATATCAAAATGATAGGAACCACCATGAAGCTATTATTTCTAAATCTTATCATATCAAAATGATAGGAACCACCATAAAGCTATTACTTCTAAATCTTATCATATCAAAATGAGAGGAACTACCATGAAGCTATTACTTCTAAATCTTATCATATCAAAATAAAATTTAAATAAGGAGTTTGCTACCAAACTTTTATTGCCAGTAACTATGGCAGCCTTAACCCTACTGAGACGGGTCTTCTTATGGTCACGGATCAAAGGCCACGTCATCATCTTTGTAGACTTACATTCAAATTTTTAGGAACTAATATTTTTTTAATGTATATCAATAAGTTTGGTATCAAGTTGTACATTATACTTCAACTTTTAGTATTATACATTAGTTAATTTCTTAATTGAAAAGTAAATATTAAAAGAAAAACCTAAATATTAATTTATGTGTGTCAGTCACGTGTTACGTTGAATGCAGCATTGGTTCAGATCAGATGTTTATGATGTCCAAATAAAGAAAATATATAGTTTCTTACAAATTAGGCACTCAAACTCTCAATATTGACAAGTTAGAATATAAAATAAGAACCTCCTATCTTTTCTATTTGCTGAGATATCGTTAGATTTAATGAACCAAACACAGTGGCCCTGCCCATCTCTTTCCATTTTTGGAAACACTTGCTGACATACACCTACTTCTGTCTATGACATGTGAATAACCAATCAAAAGCTCAGAATGTCACCCACGTGGTTCTCTGAACCTTTGCAAAGTATTTACTTGGGAAAAACCTTTCTTTTCATGGCAGATTCCAGGTGGTAAAGTAAGAGATTATTGAGCTCAAAAAATCATAATTTTTTAGACCCAAATACAGCTTAGCTACTAAGCCTGATAAATTATAGTGGAATTCTGTGGTATTTATATAGTAATTTATGATTTTTTTATTATTTCAAAATCCATATATAAAACCTAAAAAAATTAATTTGTTTTATATTCTCCAAGTGCAAAATTTGAAAAGGCTTAGCTAATGGCAGCAAGCCACAAACAAGTACAAAGTTCATAACTGGAAGAAATAATTGTTTTCTATACTTCTCAATATACTGTTCTATGTTTTAAGAAAAATAACTGAATAAATTATGAACTTAGTTGTAAATAGTAATAATGTATATGCATATATATAATGTGTTATAACAGAAATGTAACTGTATTTTATAAAATACTGGTCCACTAGAACACAGCCAAGACAGGTCACTTTGTAAAGGCCAGTTTTATATTTGATACAGTAACATGAGTGCATGTGTGACATGTCATTCAACTTCTGTAACGTTAGTCAGACACTGTTGAAAGGTCAATAAAGTAAAAATAAAAAATGTTTATATATGTAAAATATTATGAGATTTAAGCTTGTGGTTTTATGTTATAATCTCTAATAATTCTAGAATATAAAAAGCTTAATTTATATCTATTTCTTATTTTTTATGGGGGTTACAAGGTTGGTAGAATTAACAACACCCATACAAAGATACAATAGTGAAAATAACAAATAAAATATATATTTTTTCTATAAAAAACGTTTGATAATTATCTGGAGAATATTAGGAGGTCATGGAGATTTTGCATGTGAAATTTGATACTTTTCTGATGCATAAAAGTATTTTTAATCTTAAAATCAAAATTACTTTGCATTGGATAGTTAATATTCAAAAATAAAAAATGCATGAGCAAATAATTAATTAAAAAATGTTAAAACTTAATTTAAAAATGCCTTGTAATGTTTACTGATAATCGGGCAAAATTTCGTCAGTATATGTGTACCTTTTAAAAGTTACAGTATAACTACTTTATGGTTACTTTCAAGAATACAGGCTGGGTGGAATCCACCCACCTATATTAGAAGAGTTAAAGTCTCAATAATGAGTTTTGATTTTACATTTCTTCAATGAACTTAATGATTTCTGACTTCACAATCTTAATTGCTTACATTATGTTCAGTCAAAGCTAGTCTAAACTTACTTTCAGCATGTTCCTCAGTTTCATCAAAATTACTAGCTTCAAAAAGTTCTTTGATCAGTTGGTCAGCATTAACTCTGGTAGAATCCATTCTGTTCTCTTCTGTTATATGTTTCTAGAAAAAGTAAAATATGCATACATTCAATACATAAGTGCTGAAAATTTGTATAAACCTACCTTGTAAACTTATTCAAAACCTGGAGGAAGACAAAGGAAACAGAATATAATAATTCTTATTAACTCTACACTTTACACTTGAAAAAAACTAAACACACAAAAATCAGTCTATAACTCTCACGTTTTAGTTAAAAAAAAAGGTAGGTCCATTTTGTTTGCTTGAACAATATTGCATTGTTTTCCAGGAAGAAACAATTAACAAATCAACATGAAAAGTAAACAAAGATTAAGTACTAAATGTGTCAGACCCCTGGAGATAATGGCCACACAACGTGCAAACTCCTGACAATGTATATTTCTAAGATAAGTTAAATAATCTAGTTGCAAAAAAATCCCTACTTGAAATTCAGAAGCTTTTAAGTGCAGATCCGAGTTGATTTTTATAAGCCTAAAAATGCATTGAAAGTGACAGACCTAAAAATCAGATTTTCTTCACTTTCATATCACTACATTTAATTTTCAATGTCATTTTTCACATTCATTTAACTGAAAGTACATATTTAATATAAATAATTTTCATATATCTGTATGTTTAGCTTCACAGTGGAAACGTAATAATAAGCCCTCCTAAAGAGCACTGTACACTAGTGAAAAACTGCAAATCCCAATCAGCATTTTTTCCAGGTGTACATTTGATACATACACACACACACACACTTTGTTTTACATTGTGCAAACTTAGTATTTTATAATGACTTCTCTGAGAACTGTACATACCTTTCCTGTTGGTCTTTTTCTTTCAGCAAGTTTGGGCATTCCTGGCAGTGCCACTTCACTGTAACCTGAACCTGAACTGAGGTTCCTGGGATATTAAAATATATTTATGAAAATCAATTCTTTAGGAAGAAAATTAAATTAGAATACTAAAAAAATATACCATATTTAAAACCAAGAGCACCATTTAGTTTACCTACATGTTAAACTATATCTTGTAAGAATATCTAGGATAGTTAGTATAAAATACAATATAATAAACATAACTAGTGGGTTGCTTATAAGTGTACAATTAGTTGTAGCCAACTTGAAGCTACTGAGCTTATGGATTAAATGTAAATATACACTAATCACTTGTTCAAAAACGCAACAACAAAGAATAATGTAAAACCTCTATCAATAATTTAAGTAGATGGCATCTGTGTTGATCATGATCTATGTTATGACACCACTCAGTATTGATACAGGATTTTTTACAACTTGAAAGACTGAATTTTGGAAGTTCTTACATTTACTAAGTCTTTTTTTTTCCCTTATTCCCCAAAAACATCAATTAGAAATAAAACTCATGAGAGTAGTGAAATGAGCTAACTGTCATGATATAAAAGACTGTTTAGTGTAGATATAATTGATTAATTAATTTTTGTGAGTGAATATTTTATTATTGTTTAGTTTTTGTTA